AATAAATAAAGCCCTAATCCATTTGATAAAACTTTGAATTGACAATACTTTGAATTGTAAAAAAAAATCAAGTTTAACAAGCCAACATAGATATGTATTATTCATTAAAATAATCTATTTTGGAGGCAAATTAATTAATGATAATTTGTTAGTTATGTCATCTTTGAATTAACCTCCTCGAGATATAAGTTAAACATTTTACGCGACGCAGTGCATGTTGAAAGCCACATTAATTCTAATATAGTTGCATGTTTCACCCTGTAACACCCAAAACTATATAGCATGTTTCAACGCGTTTTATAAATGTTGAATTTATGGCTAAAATTTTTACAAAGTTGAGAAACTTGGGCTCCTGGCAGTCTAACGATATACCTGTTTTGTATTATGGTAAGAGTAAATGACTAAATTAGGCGCAAAATCTCTTTGGGACCTAAAGTTCATGAATTTTCACTAAAATTAATAAAGCTCTAATGCATGTATGTGATAAAATTGAAAAACTGTTCATAAATTAATTGGTCATGCACTTCTGTTTATTAATTTTCTTGCCTGGGAAAAATTTGCGATTGCTATTTCTTTTGTCATGTCCTGTTTTAATAAATATGCGCAAAGGTTAGAAAATGCGGGTGCATGATCAATCGTTCGTATTTGCTTATTTTTGCGTGGAATTAACAATAGAAAACAGGTGTCATTCAAAAACTAAGAACCTAATCATTATTAACATGAAAAAATTAAGTACTTCCACAAACTAAAACTTATATTCTGTCCACTGTTTTAATTCACATCGGTGCCGAATCAAGGCGCGCAGAAATTTAACCGAATGATCTCATAATGGGATATGTCGTCGGTGAGTATTCTGCCGAAGGCAGTCCCTCACGACACGCCACGCCATGCCAGAAAAGGCCATCTTCGGCCTGGCGCTTTGTTTCACAATATGACTTTCCCGTCCTTGATTTCATCCAGCATCATTATTTTCTTTCTTCCCCTCGGTTCTTTCTTCCCCTAATTCTATCTCGTAACAACCCGTCATGTCTCCAACCCACTTCTTCTTCTTTTTCCTGAAGAAATATTTTGCATTTACCTTGATATGTGGAAACAGCAAGTTTAATAAGCCAAAAAATTATTAGTCCTTAAAATAATGTTAATAAGGCAAATTAATAATAATTTGTTAATTATATTTTTGAGGCAACGCCTTTCGAAAAATTTTTACTCAAATTTTTACTTAAACATTTTTACTCAAAGCTTGGTTGCAGTGGTGAATTACAATGCTCTCTCATGCACACTGCAACGCCCTAAACTATAGAGATCAGTATATAATGTATAACTATATAATATTGATTTCTATAGGGTGTATCAAAAATTATATTATTATGTCTGCCTTAATTTTAACTATTTATCATCCAATTATTATGTCTCTCTTAATTGTAACTTCTTAACATCTTTGCCTTTCAGAAACACCCATCATTCATGAGGAACTTATATTGAGGCCGGATCTTGAAGGTAGGAGACTGAAGTAAATACTGGTTTACAGAGGCCGCGGAAGCATTTAGAAAGTGGAGGGGGGGGGGGGGG